ACTGATGCTGCAATGGACCAAAAGACCCAGATGAAAGTGCCCAGCAGGTGTGCTTGATGTCCAAGATATATTCTCACTTCATAACAGGCTAGAAATGCACCACATGGTCTCATAAAGGGAATAGCGACACAATCCAAAGGTGGGCGTTCACGGTTGAGTTGTATACTGTCGATCCTACAAGGTTGCGGGAGGGAGACGGCCCCGGCAGTACATGGAGATCTGCTCCATGGTGGATCGTCACTTGGCAGAAAATATCAGTGACGTGATGATGTCGGTTCATCGTTTCGTCGATCGGGTCCTGCAGATGATCTGACCCGACAAATTAGTCACGTCCAAATTTCTCTCAGCTTTGTTTGACCGCATTTTCGAACGTTACGAGCAGGCGATCGAGGCATGTTCGCTTTCTACTCGACGCTGAGAGAGTTAGTCCCGGAGATGCGACCTATCTCAGCACCAGGTAATGAAATGGATGCCTGCTCACTTCAAAAGGCTTTGCGCGGCAATCGATGCAATACCACCCGATTACATTTTGAAGTCTCCGAGGATTCGGAGCTACAGTTTCCGTCCTCATCTGGACTTTCACAAGGTCTGAAAAGCCATCACCTTTCGGAGCCAGGGTCTATGGATGACGAGGGCCTGAGCCTTCTTGATTCCCAGCTAGTGACACCAGAAACTTCTGCTCCCCAAATATCAGAACAGGCGACATCCAAGAAACCAAAAAAGAGATGAATCCTTTACCTTGTGATCAGGGTACACCTGGTGACACGGGTGGGAGCTCAGAACAGCAAGATAAGCATGTGATTCACTGTAAGGTGACTTGGGAAAAAATCGTATTTCTACCAAAATTGTAGGAGCATCAATTGACCTCTCGCCCTCTTCGATCCCCACGGACGCTCCTGCGCAAGTCGAGCCTCCGCAGAAGGTCCTGGACAACCCCCGCTGACGGTGGGCGGCTGAGGTAATCAAGGTAGCCTCAGCCCTCACTCTGACTGGCAGCAAGCATACATTTACAACCTGTGACTTTGACATATACAAGGGACTAATCCTCATCTCCAGCATGTTTTCCGGGAATATGCTCCAAACACTTAATGTCCACCTTACTGGGCGTGCCCTAGTTACCATTCAGGAGACCGATACGTCAGGAGACCGATACGACGATTGCACTACCCGTAAATCGAATTGAAACTTCTGTTGAACTTTGTCTTCGACGTACAATTGAGTCCACGATCGGAGCATATGA